AGAATTACACTGAAGGACCTACAAATGCTTAGAGAAGTGTTCTCTCTATGAATATCTAAATCTTCCAGCACAACTCTGTGGTCAACATCTGGCAGAAGTTGAACACAGAACCATGATGGAGGACCAAGAGAAACATGAATGAAATCCACAAATAATCAAATATGCAAAAGTCAAAGCTAAAAATGTGGAGGGCCAACTGTACAGTCCTCATTTTAACCCATCCTTTGCAGACCCATATTCTGAATAGGCCAAGCACTTTGGATAATGCCTTTAAAGCTAACCAAAACCTGGAATGGGTTCACCACCCTGCCAACACAGAAGCCACAAGCTACAACTGTTACTTCTCATTCCACAGAAATTCCATCATTTCTATCATTCTTCTTCTCTTTCATCCATCCCAATAGCACATGTAGACACTTGTTCAAAGTTTCACTGCTTCACTTGAATGAAAAGAAAGTTGAACGTGTACTTTGCATATTAATGGCATTGTAGCCCTGATTTCTAGTTGGCTTTTGCTATTTAATAGCATGGGAAATACAACAGAGCTCAATGGCACCACCCAAGCCCAATGCTGTGATGTGGAACAAATGCCTGATTGAAGTCCAGAGTAGATTCCACTGCAATGAATATAGCTCATTTCCACAATGACAAGCTGTTATGCACTGGCCAAAAGCGTGTACCCATTTGTGCAATAAACTGAAGGTAACCACAAACTGAAATCAACTATTACACAACTGCATGAACAGGTTAACTTATTAAGGGATAAGACACCAACAAGATTCCAGCCATTATGTCCCAAATCTTAGTTCCTCGATCCCTAAAATAGTCCCTGTTTTAGGCTTGAAACTCAAGCCTCATGTCTTATTTATATCTTGATAACAGCTTGGAACAGGTAGGGTTTGGGACTTCAGTAAATTCTGAAATACCCCCATTAGTATGGCTAGGCTATCTGGAGTAGTTTGGGAATTATAGTCCAGACTACTGTCCCTGTCCAAAGCCCTTTCCTACACTAGGCCTGTTCCAAGCTATGTTCTAGATAGGATGGCTACAATTTGCTCTTTGTGTGAGGTTGCCTCTAGAAAGTATCCAGAAGCTTCAGTTGGTCCAGAATGTAGCAGCCAAATATTGACCCAAACCTGTTCTTTGAAGCACATAGCTCCCCTTTTACAATAGCTGCATCCCAATTATTTTCAGGCACAAGTTAATGTGTCTGTTATGACCTTTATAGCTAAGGAGTAGCCATCTAACAGTTGTGATACCTAATGAATCATCTCCCTTCATTGAGCCATAGGGCTCTTTCTACACCATGAAGCCCTTAGGCAATTTTAGAAAGTGGGTTTAATGGTCGTAGAGATAAACTCTTTATATAGTAATGTCAACTTCCTTCAGATGGGAGGCCTTTCTTCTCGCCCTACTGAATGGGAACCTGAATATCCCTTCCATAGTCTCATCCTCATGATGCCACTGTGCCCGCATCTTATAACTAGCTGAATACTCTGTTTTATTTGCTTATGAGGACATAGAATCATAGACTTGAAAGAGACCACAAGGGCCATCCAGTCCAACCCCCTGCCATGCAGGAACTCAAAATCAAAGCATTTTGAAAGAGAGACTTGAAAGAGAAACTTCTCAATGGCTTAGCCCAGGCTGTGTGGAGGTCTCTCACTAGTTTCCCTTTGCCCTTTTCTAATTAATAATATAATAATAATAAATAAATTTTATTTATAACCCACCTCTCTGCAACGCAATCTTCTGACCACTTGCAAAATCCTCCCTTCCAATAGTCCTGTAGCTGAAATTGTTATGCAGATCACTTTGAAAATAAATTATTGTTTATCTGATGTTCAACCTGCTGTTTTTCATTGTTCTTCAAATGAGCGGAGTATTTAAACGTATGTTGCAAGCTGCTTTAATCACTTCTCTTTCTCTCTCTTTTTAAGAAATGTGCTGTGTATAAATACTTGTGATGAATATATCCAGGCATGACTGCAATACAGATCTAAGTTTGCGACTTCTTGCCAAGAAATGCTCAAATTTTTAGAAGGTTGGAATGATTATTCTTTGCAGAGTTCTATAAGTCTTTTAGAGAATTAGAATTTCCAGCACTCTTTGGGGTGGGGAAACACTGTCAAAATTGACATTATAATCTTATGCTTGTTTACTCAGAAATGAGTCTCTGAAACTTAATCTTAAGAAATGCAACTTTGGCTACATACAAATATGCAAAGAGATCTTGTAGCACCTTTAAGACTAGGTCTAAAGCTTAAGCTACAACTTCTTTCACACAGTTGGGGCCTTTGCAGATCTGTCCAAAGGGCCAGCCTGGAGACAGAGTTGGGGAGGGGCAGCCGCATGCCAGCTGCCCCAACCCCACGCCGACGCTGTCCTGAGGCCGCACCATTACGCACAGTGCATGGTGTCAGGACACCCTTCCGATGCAGCATTAAAACACTCTGTGCCAAAAAGGGCACTGAAGAGCCATGCTTCAGCTCATAGGGTGGCTTTTTGCCGCCCCTGAAAGGAGCAACATTTTGCCGCTCTTTTCAGGGCAGCAAAAGGGAGGATCGGGGCTGTGGTGTGGTATTGCCGTGGCCCCAATCCTCTGCTTCCCAGGGTGGCCCAGAACTGCCCATCTGCAGTCCCCCTTAGTCTCATAGGTGCTTTAAAATGCCTTTGCATACTGATATTGCAGACTAACATGGCTATTTCTCTGAATTCTATATACAAGTATGTGCATATAGGATTATAGTGTGAATTTTGTTGTATGGAGTTGTCTGGATGGAGAACTTCAGAGATGAACAAAAATCTGACAGTAACACAGTTGTAGAGTTTATGTTTTGCCAGCAGAAGATCTCAAACTCAAACTTGGGCATTTCCAGTTAGAAGGCTCAATGGCAGGTACTAAGAAATCTGTTTGAGGACCTTGAAGCTGCTGCCAGTCTAAGTGGGAAATATTGGGCTTGTTGAGCTATCTATCTGACTTGGTTTAAAGCAGATTGCTTAATTGAATCTGGGACGTCTTCATCCAAAACCCAATACTTTGCATCTTATGTTTTTAAATGTGAATTTAGATATTTAGTTCCATTTCTTTTATTTCATGTAGTGTGGATTGTTATATTTCATTTCATTTTTACTTTAAAGAAAATCTTGGTGTGGAATTTTAAAAAGAGGTGTATTCCTTTTATTTAATACAAGGATTTGACTTCTAAAGAGTAAGGGGCTGTACAGATGGGCAAAAAGAGGTGCTTTCAGGCTGACTTGGAGATGTGGCATTTAGATGACACATGCCTAAAAGCCGGCAGGAAAGTGCTCTCTAGGCGCCGCATGCTGGGAAAAGCCACTTCAAAAGGAGCAGCTTTTTTCTGCTTCTTCCAGAAAGATGCAGACCTTCACATGTGTGTATGTATGCAGTGACACTGGTGCATCAGAAAAAGGGTGCTGGAGATTTAAAATGGCCGTATAAATGCAACACCACACGTGCAGCAGAAATTGAGTCGGCCATCCAGAGCATGCACCCTACGATGCAGGCTTTAATTTAAAGCACCCTATGCTTCCAGGTGTGGATGCACTGCCACAAGTGTGTTTTAATATTAGAACCCTAACCCTAATTGTAACCCTACGCATGTGCCCTAGCAACTGTTCTCTGTTATGACAATAAATGCATTCTGTTGCATGTACTCTTGCTGTCAGAATGCACAGTAGTTTGCATGAAAGAGGCTTTTTGTGACCTCTTCTGCGTAGGTGTGCAGGTGTGCATAAGGTCTGCCCACCACTTCCTGGTATGCTTGGGGGGCACCTGGAGTAACGTATGTCTGTGTGTCCTGTTGACTATGTCTCTTTCATGACCACCAGTTGCATGTATCAAGTCTGTCCACACAAACCTCCCTTGCATGTACCCCTCCCCTCCCCCCGATCTGTGTGGGACATGTTTTGTGGAGGACAATGGAGTAGTGTCTTTTCGGTTGACAGATTCATTCTTCCACCCCAAGGGTGGCACAATCAGACAGTGGCACCTGTCTATAGCACCCACTCCTTGGGGGAAGCCGTGGTCAGTGAATCCTTGCATGATCTGTGGGTGTATGACAGGTCCTTTGCAGGTGTGCAGGGATGCTGAACATCAGTCACCTTTATACAGACAAAATGACAGACTGTATGCCACCCTATGACATGTTCTGTGCAGATGCACAGGGATGCCGAACTTCAGTCACCTTTGTATACAGAGAGCAATAGACTGTATACCAGCCTATAACATGTTCTGTGCAGGTGCTCAGGTATGCAGGGATGTGTTCCTGTGCATGTGCACATGCGTCTGAGAGAACAAAAAAAAAAAATTAAAGCAGCCACTGCCAGCCCATGTGGTTGCTCCATCTCCCTTCGTGGTGTCCTTGGGCTGGCGATGCAGTTGGCAGAGCTTCAATACAGCCTCAGAAAAGCTGCATTGACTGCCCCCCAATGTGGTTGCTCCATCCCCATTTAGGGCATCCTCAGAGCAAGTGGTGCAGTTGCTGCAGCTTAGGGAAATGGCAGCTTCATATCACCTTTTCCTGCCCATCTGTACAGCCCCTAAATAACTGGACAGAATGGAAAGGTAATCAGTGTAATGGGAATGATGGCGTTCCTTCCACATCTTCATCTTGTTTGCTTTCTGCTTAGGGCCAAACTGTTCTGAAAAGGGATTTTTTTTTTATCATTATGGCATCTTTCTCTGAATTAGTGCCCTCCAGGTGTATTGACTGTGCTGGCAGGGATTATGGGGTGTGTGCTCCAAAACATCTGTAGGGCACTAGTTCATGGCAATGTGTCATGCTGATATGTGTAAGAGTTTCGGTTCCATGGATGCTTTAGCTTTCCTTGGCTGCTATTTATGTTTTTTTGTATATTTGTTTTCAAATGAAGAAGTTAATAGGATTCACAAAATTAATTTTGTAAGCTAACATCTTGTCATTTTGTTCTAAGAAGGATTTGAGCCATATATGTGCACTTTCTGGTGTGACTTGAGAGCCAGCGAGGTATAGTGGTTTGAGTGTTGGACTTTGGCTCTGAAAAACCAGGGTTCGATTCCCTGCTTGGCCTTAGAAACCCACTGGGTGACCTTGAGCAAGTCACACTGAAAGTGTGTGGGAGGCAAATGCAAATGCCCTCTGAACAAATTTTGCCAAGAAAACCCTGTGATAGATTCGCCTTAGGGTCACTATAGGTCAGAATCTTGTGTGACTTGCAGTAAAGTAGCCTTTATTAACATGAAGGAAGCATATCTTAGGCAGTGAATATCTATAAGTAGGGCAGATCCCCATTAAAGTCCTGCACAGAGCACTCTGAATCACCAATATCATAGAAGGAAGCTGACTGGTTAGTACACCAAATAGACATAAGCATTCATACAGCAATATTTTGTTGCATGTTCCACCTGTTACTATAAAAATAGAAAAAGTCTCTTTAAATGTTTGGGGACACTATCTCTGTGCGGCCTCTAAGAATGCCAAGCATAATGAACTGCCATGAATAATAAATGAAAACTAAAGGCTTTTATTACCTCCCATGCTTTGAAGCAAGGAAAGATGATGTAAAACTGCAAGCCAAGCAACCTCAAGTAAATGGAATAAAACTCCTACAGTCTGAAGCTTGGCATCATCCAGTCAGCCTAGTAAAATTCTAAAACAAATTAGGGATGTGCAAGCTGTGAAATACCCAGACTGAGCAGCAAAAGGAGGCAGCTGCTGGGGTTATGTTCTGTGGCTGCCAAATGCATGCAGCTCATCTTGGCAGTCCAAGGAGGCAGGCTATAAATTTCCTGAGCTTTAATGTACAGAATCTTCTAGCTAGCAACTACAGCCATAAAGAACAAAGATGAAAGTCACAGAATCCAGGCTGCCTACCAGGAATTGCCTAAGAAAGTGAGTGCCTGCCAGCTGCATGTCTGGAAGACCAAAAGCCAAATAACTTTAGCATCAGTAGCTGCAAAGATGGAAAACACCCTGTTTGGCCTGGGAGCACAAATATATGCAAAGAGATTTGCCCATCCTCACTATCAAGAGTTGGAATTATGTAACCTTCCAGATGTTGCCAGGCTGCTACTCCCAGGATTCCTCACCATTGGCTATGCTAAGACTGCTGGAATGTGCAGGCCAACAACCCACATCAGTGTTTTGTTTGTTGCTAATTGCCCTGGAGTCAACCTTGACTAATGGTGACCCTGTAAATGAGACATCTTCAAGACTTCCTGTCTTCTACTGCTCTGCTTAAGTTTTGCAGACTCACGGCCATGACCTTCCTAACTGAGTCTATCCATCTGACATGCAATCTTCCTCTCTTTTTACTTCCCTCAACCATTCCCAGTATTATTGTCTTTTCTAATGAGTCCTGCCTTCTCATGATATGGCCAAAGTATGATAGTTTCAATTTGATCATCTTGGCCTCTAGGGGTATTTCAGACTTGATCTGTTCAAGGACCCATTTGTTTGTTCTTTGGCCTTCCACAATATCCTCAGCATTCTTCTCCAGCACCACATCTCAAATGAGATGATTCTCTTTCCATCCACCTTCTAATAGTGTACATCTCTGCATATGAGGTTCAGCACTGATTGTGCTACATGATGCTTGTGTTCAATGGCAGAAATGCACACCAAAGGAACACTGCCACCAATTCCAGCAAGGCTATTGTCTAGGTTTGGATCTTCAAGGGTTCAGTTGATGCAATTGCTCCAGGTCTTCCACAGTCAAAGGGGATTATCACATGAGTCCCCGTTCTTGCTACAATCATGTTAATGAAAGGAAATTCATACATACTGGCTTGGGAGCAGTCCCTATAACACATGTCTGGACTCACTGTAATAGCCATTGCTGGTCCAGGACTCTCTTTCCCAGCGTATTCCTTAACTCCACCTCCCTCCCCTATTGCTTTACCAGAATGCCTTTTGTTTTTCTTTTTGTTTTTCTTTTTGTTTTCTTTCTCTCTTTTTCCCACAATTCAGGTTTTATGGCAATGGGGGAACAGAAAGTTTTTTTTAAAAAAGAAAACAAGCTGAGATCACGTGACTGGCCAATGCTGGGGCTGCAGCTCAGACATTATCGCACACAAATCTAATGCTATAGCAGCAATACTGGCAGCAATTGAAGGGGAAAGCCCATGAATGAAAAACTGTGCAATCATCATGGATGGAGGACAAACCAGCTACAGATCAGCCATGGCATCATCTGATAAGGTTCAACCATAGATGAGTCTGTTCTACTTTAATTCCACTTTTTAGCCTCATGTGATAATCTCCTAAATCTCATTGCTGACGAAATAAGGTGTAGCTTGCTGTTTCTTCACCCCAGTCACTTCTGGAGTATCTCGATATTTCTGTTGTCATGAACATTTCAAGTGTTATGTAACTAACTGAATAAAAATGCATGGAAACAAGTTGTTGGTCTCCAAAATGGGTTCAACACATCAGTATGTCACTACGACTCTGTATTTCACTTAGTATTTGTTGATTTATATATTCAATTTCTATGCCACTAGAAATGTTGCACAAATGGGACCTTGTTATGGACCTACTCCAGGGCTGCTACCTCATTAATCCTTGGGAATGCACATTAGCCACAAATGTCATCCTTATGTGCAATGGCACTGCATGTGCAACTGAACTTCCACAATTTTGAACTGAATGTGGCTGTTGAATATCAAACACAAATATCTAACTGCTCCCATCAGGAAATTTATACATGCATAAGATAACAACTGAATTCTGACCATAGTCCAACAACATCTGAAAAGCCATGAGATTCTGATACTGCTTAATATGATTACCCTCTGTCATCCAATAACACAGAAAAATAGAACTATGGAAAGCAAAGCATTGTTAATTGATACAGAAATAAATCTTAAAATATTTTTGACAGAGACCTGATGCCATTATGATCTGTCATCCCTCAGTTGAGAAATGCCCACCTATATCAGGCTAGGCAGCATTGAGCTCCAAAGTTGCAAACTGCCCTTTCATATCTTTCTTAGAGCCACCAATCCTGGCTGCTACTACTGCCAAATTGACTACTAAAATTACCACCATTATGACTTTTGGTCCTCCATGTTACAGAAACTGCTTTCTCTGTGTCCTTGAATGCCTTTGAGATGCTCTGTTGTGCAGTCTCAGAAGGTCTATGGTCCAAGAGGGGCTCTAGCATGCTTCTGACACCACAGTTGCTCCTAAATTTGGGCAACACCTGTGAAAGTGAAAGCAAATTTGATATATTTTGCAGCCCTTGATGGACTGGGAGGAAATTCTAATGTGTCTATTGACCCCAGGAAGCTGCTCATCTCTGACCTGTACAGTGTTCCACATGTCTGTGTACAGTAAGAGTGCACACCTGCCCAACCTTATGCTGATAGGAAAAGTATCATCAGGGAAGGAGAAGGAAGCTGTGCTTCATCCCCTCTAAGTTCAATCTTTCCCTCTGGGAAAGCCATACAGTGACTGGTTGGTATGCAGGCTTCCAAGGCCTTGAGGCATTACCAAACCTATTATTTCTCTCAATTATTTGTATCATTCCATTTCCCAGTGGGGATAAGTGTTCCTGTGCTGTTAAGAGAAAAAATTGCCTAGCAACCAATAGAAACTATTTACATGTACAGAGGGGAAACAGAGGTTTCAGGGGAATCAATGTTCCCTGAGAAGGTCATGGTGGAACAGTGTTGAACTAGTCATCCCTCTTTTGTGGACACTCAACTGAGCTGCCTAAAGATAATTCATCTGCACATTCAGCTTTGGGGCATTTCTTTAGCACCCATGGAACAGTTTATAGTAAGAAAGTCAAGGAAATGGGAAGGCTAGAGGAAAAGACAGCAGGAAGATGAAGCAGGAGGCAGTAGAAGGGAGGTGGAGGCAATGGAGGCTTGAAAGAAGGCAATGGTCAACAAAATGGGGGGAAAAGCCAGAGGGTCATGGAAAGTGCAAAAAATGAATCTGGAAAAGGAAGTCAAGAGTCTAGCTGGCTGGGAAGAAGCACTGTGGTTAGCAGCCATTTGCTGGTGCTCACAATAGTCAAACTCCCACAATATACAGAAACTAATGTTTGATATAGTAAAAGTGGTTATACCACCTGATCCAACATTCTTTCTATTGAATATGACTAGTATAATGGAGAGAGATGTTGAGAGAAAACATAGACGTATTGTATTATATTATATATGATTACTGTGGCTAGAGTTCTTTATGCTAAAAGATGGAAACAGACTCAAATACTGTCTAACAGGGAATGGAGTGAAAAAATGAAGAAAGCTATGGAATTAGATATTTTAACAGCTTTAATGAAAGAAGAAGAAGATGTGGAAAAAGAATGGACTTGCTTTAAGATATACTGGAAAAAGGAAAGAAAACATAGAGAATAATAGTATTTAGCAGATATTTATTTTTTGAATAAAGATAAAAATGAAGGTTAAAGTGATGAAGATGAAACATGGAAGCTATGGAAAGAGATAGAGGTGTAAATGAATTCTATTGTAATAAGGCAAATATCTATTTTCTCAGGAAGTCATTTAATAATATTAAGAAGTTTATAATATAATAGGTGTTTAATGTTGATGGAGTAACATGTATGTTCTTGGTTTTGTATGTAAGATCTGTTTTTGTTTGTAATGTATGTAATGTATAATGCATATTTGTTTTTGGTAAATAATTTTTTTAAAAAAATAGTCAGATTCCCACATATATCCTCATCATTTGTAGAAATATTGCTAGTTTTGGGTAATCTACCCAGTTATATGTTCTCCTACTGGTACTAGTATATTCTCATTCTCAGAAGAACTCAGAGTTGTGGCTTTGTCCTTTGTCTGTGGAATGAAATTCTAGGGTCTGACATTTAGACCATAAATCCAATCATTAATTTTGAAAAAGAGTACGACCACTGAATGGAGCTTAACCGGGTTCTCACAACATCAGTTGTTCTTCTCTGCTTGAAACTAGTGGAATTTAGTCCAGTCTCCATGGATGGTAATTAAATGGGCTAGGAAAGACTTTTACTATTAGAAGCTGGAGCTTATCACATGCTTTAAAAAGCCAGCTTACCTTTTCTGGCTTCAGTCTTCATTCAG